AAATTCCTCGTTTACCCTTATTCTTGTTAACTTGAGGCTATGATAGTACAGCATGCATACTTACTTTTGTTCTAAGCCCTGAGAAAATTGTAATTTTTTCTCTAAATTCATGATGAAAATGGCATTTTTTCTACATCAATCTAGCCACAGCAGCTCTTCTGTGTCAATATTTGCCTTTTATAGCTCTTTATAGCTTTGACCTTGAATTTGCCATTGCTTTAGTGATGTAGTTTGAATTTGTAGCTGCATTTTTTGTTTGTTTGTGATAATCTTATAGAGATGGAAACATATATCCATGGAATATCCATTCAAAATTCCCAATTCAGTAGATATGAAAGGGGATGAGAGAGGTTTTTTTTTGTTGTTGTTGTTGTTTTTTGTTTGTTTGTTTGTTTGTTTGTTTGTTTTTTCATTTTTTAAAGCTAGGGTCTCCCTAAGCAGTTCAGGCTGGCCTTGAACTCACAGTGTAGCCCAGGCTGGCCTGGAATTCACAGTGATCCTATTGCCTCAACCTCCCATGTGCTGGTGTTACAGGTGTGCACCACAACACCAGCTGAGAATTTGCATTCTTAAGTTTTTAAGCAACCCTACTGCTCCTGGTTTGGGAGCAGATTTAGAAGAACGAAATCATGCAAGTTTTCTCATGGATATGGCAGAAATCTAAGAAGGCCAAACCTGCTGTGATGCAAGCTTTATGCCCTGCTTATGGTTCCTTTCTTAGCCTCTCCTTGGTCAGTATTCATGTAGGTAAGCCCAAAGTCATGATATGGATCTCACCGACTAATGCAATCATAGAGTTAAGCCCAACGTCAAACACAAATAAGTATATTTTAGCAAGCACTCGGAGTCACGGACGCCACTGACTTATGAACCAAACTTTGAGCAGCACTTGTACCCACCCCAACCCTGCCTTCTGAGTTTCCATCTCTTTCTCTGTCTGTCGTTTACATAGATAGCTTTTTATTCTCATCTTTTTGCTCTTTGCAGATGTTTACTTTTATGCACTCCCTGTATTGCCAAATACAACCGTTACATTTTAAATCTGGATTACTTTCTTTGTTAATCATATTGAGTCTGTTTATTTTTCAAACTGGCTGGCCACATTTATAACTCATACCATCCACAGGTGTTTCCATGTTTGACTTACATATTAAGATAGCAAGCCTGATTGTGTTACGCACTAATTATCTTTGATAATTTAGTTACTCAGTTTGAAAAATGACTGTGAGTATTCGCTGGGGAGTGGGAATCACAAGCTCTCTTTCAGAGAACGTGCTTCTTCCAGGTGTGAGGAGTCAGGTATGCTCTCAGAAAAAATCCATTTCTTGAAATCTTTTGGTCCCCTCAGGCTCCGTGTTCCTATAAAGCAAATCTATGCAAAGGCAGGTCTTGTCATCAGTTTCCACCACCCCCACTTATATATTTTCTTTTGCAGCCATGCTCAGAACAATAGCTACCTCTCTGAAGTCCTGGGAATGCAAAATTCTCAGAGAATAGATGGGGATAAAATCGCATCTCTCATGCCATTTTCCAAGGGCATGGACCTTGGAAGTCCCAGTATGTAGAACTATAGATTATGGCCAGGTCCTAGGTTTTCACTTGTGTCCATTTTCTACACAATGCTATAAAACAAAAGCCCAAGAGAAACTCATAGACAACTGGCCCCAGGTGGGGAAAAATGATCTATTACTTATACAACTGCTAGTGTTAATTTATTTAAATATGAGCATTGTTATGTATTTGATTCCTCAATGTTTTACAAGATGTTTTTTCAAAAACATATTCTTCTAATAATTTTTATTGGTTAGCAGGAGAGTTTATTCAAGTAACCTCAAAACCTGGAAGTAATTTGACAGTAAGGTGGATAATTATTGATAGATATTAGAATATCTTCAAAATTACGAATGTATTTTTTATTGTACTGATATGTAGAATGATAGTAACCTCACCAAGAAGAAATCTGTATAAAGGTCAGATTACTTTGAAATCAGTGTTTTTAATTTTATAAATACCATAGGTATTTTTTGTTCTGTGTTGTAACTATTATTTTACTATTTGATTATGAATTATTTTCTGGTGTTTAATAGAACCTGCTACAAATGTGTCATCTAACTAAATCATAACTTCTAGGTACTGTACAGGCAAATAGAATAATAGATTACATATTAATTTAATTCTCCCTTATTAAAAGTTAGAAAAAGAACTTCTCTTTTCCTGAGTTCTTGAAAAAGGTATTTCTATCTCAAATGAATCAAAATATTTTTAGATGTTAGTCTTTTGCTAGGATTATAACCTAGGTGTGTCTTTTATGGAAGCCCAAGACCCATCTCTTTGTCTGACTGACAAAGAAGCCAATCCTCTTCTTTTCCAGTTTGCATGAAAAGGCAAGAGCTTGAATGGTTGCCTTTCTCCAAATTGGAAAATTTATCAGAAAGACATGAAAAGTTGATCCTCCTTTAGACAAAGCCAATTAAATCACAGGCATGATCACCCCATTTGCCAGATAGATGTATAATAAACAAATCGTACTGTCAGGATCTTTTGTTTGAGAAATAGTTTCAGTGTGTTCTGAAGAAATTTGTGGTACACCATGGATGTAACCACAAGTCTGTCAGCTTGACTACAGAAAGGAATAAAGTTTCTATTTTTTTCTTATTGCAATATTTATTTAGCAGCTTAGTGCACACGTTATGTTTTGTATTTTTTATCTTAAAATGAATAAAAGAACAGATATCATGATCCCTTTAGAAGTGACATTGGGAACACATCTGATTTTGGTTCATTCAATGTTTATTCAATAATAAGATGTGTATTATTTCCCTTACACCAAGGTGGAGATTGCTGGATAATGAAGATGTTTTTCTTAACTATATTTTCCTAATAGTATCAAACTACATCTTAAGTGAGATACTATTAGCATCTATGTAAAGCAAACAGTAAGGAATCCTTAGAAAAGTCCTGGCATGTAAAATAAAATAAAATGTCAGAGACAACCAGTGAAAGTATTCACTAGAGAAGGAACAAATGCTTGTGATGCAATTAAAAATACTGTTATTTAATATTAAAGATGGGCATGTTTGTTTTATATTTAGAACTATAGGCATATTATCACTAATAAAGGTCTATATATTAGACTTTTGATTATGGTCAGTTATAAATATGTTTTTAAAGACATAAAATCACTATAATTTTGTGTGTTAAATATTACAAAATGTTGATATGACTATGCACATGCTACCAACTAACAAGTTGAGATAAAACATTAGAAAGAGTATTCATAATTGAAATCTAGGACAAGATATGAGATGACTTCTGATATCCATCCCAGCTGCTGAATCCCATTCCCAAAATTACAAACCAAACTCCTACATTAGCATTTACCCAGTCCACATTGTAAACAAATAAATACAAGTATTAACAATTATTCCCATGTGCTTATTTCCTTATTACTAGGGTTTTTCCTGCTGTTTAAGCTACCCCAAGATTTTATCCCCCTACCAAGCCTCCATAATTCAGACATTGTTGCTGGACGACTTTTATTTGTGGTTTGTTGTTGTTGTTTTGCAGTGCTAGGTATTGAACTCAGCCATTCACACTGAACTGCATCGGCTGCCCTTTCTTACTCTATTTTTGTTTTGGGACAGGGTTTCCCGGAGTCAGTTAGTTCCCCAAGTTGGGGTCAAACTTGCCTCTCTACTATCTCATCTAGTCAAGTTATGATTCCCAGTGGCCCAAAGAGGCTTGACTTCTGAAGCCCGTTACTGTACAGTCTGAGGATGGATCTGTGGTACTGTGGTCTGCACCAGGAGTGCAGAGTCTATATGCCACCATTTTGTCTTCCCCAGTTAACTCAGGAGCATCTCAAGAAAATGATGTTTTTTTCTGTCTCTGACTGTACCATTCTAACTGGTACAGTCTGAATTAACTTTACTTTTTTATTTTTACCAAACACTCATTATATGGAAGCTGTGAAAATCAGTCTTTCTGTATTATTTCACTACGATTTGTCTTCTTTGAAATTTTTGTTATGTACTAAGCAGTTTTGACAGTCATTCAACTACAGAAGTTGAAGGACACAAATTTGTGTCTTACCATTTTTCAAGCACATTTTTTTTAATCTTATGTTTATCAAAAGGTTTTTTTTTTCTGCACCATTTTCTTTATTGTCTCCCATAGCTTTTTAACTCCATTTCAGTTTAAGATACCACGTTAGCAATTCTTGTTTATTAAAAAGAAATCCAAAAGAGTTTGACCCAGAGTTTGAATAAAAATAAATGTTTCCTGAGTATATTCTGCTCTTCCAGAAACATAAAAAAGATTATAATTATCTTTTATGTTAAATACATGTGAATTTTATCTAAACCATCAAGAAATGTAAGCTGACAAATACAATTTAATAAAAACAAATCGCTTCTGTATTTCATTCTGACTAAACACAGTGGCCTGGCAGGGAATTCTCAACTCTTATGGTGATGTCCTTCCAGATGAAAACAGAAACCAAACCCACCAGTACTTGATAGCAACAAATAAACCCAGTGACATATCATCAGATTACACAATCTCCGCTAGCCTTTTAATATCTGTTAGTTATTCAGTGAGTTCAGTTTGTGCTACTTTCTAAACTGTACCTGTGGTTTTTCAGGATTGAAAAGGAGCTTGGAGTTTTCCTCCTCTGTCATCTCTCTGCTCTTTGCTCTGCAGACAAATATGCTCAACACAGACTCCATTCCAAGTACTTCAACCATGATTGCTTCTGAAAATTGAAAGTCTTGTTTTAACTCATAGCACCTTTCAAGACATGAACTTCTTAAAGGAAGCATTAGTTTCAAAATACATAGACTAAGCCTTTAATAAATATCCCACAAACTAATGATAAATTACAAAAATAAAACCTTACACTTTGTTTTGATCAAATGCAGAAACTAAGGACACTGAGCAACGGAATATCTTACAAGCTCACAGCTAGTTAATGACAAAGTTGGAAAGAAACCTGTTTCACAGTGACTGCTTCAAGCATCACACAGACTAAAACTACAAAGATGGAGAGCAGATTACCAACGGCCCTGTGCAAGAATGATATGCAAATTTTGAAGTGCTCCATATTTTTAATAGCCTTGAAAGCCTACATTAGAAAAACAGAGCAATCCCAAATTAATAGCCCAACAATGTACTTCAAAGTCCAGGAAAAACAAGAACAATCCAAATCTCCAATTTGTACTAGGAAAGAAATGGTAAGGATCAGAGGGAAATTCAATGAAACTAAAAGAAGAATGCAAAAAAAAAAAAAAAAATCAGTGAAGAGAAGATTCGACTTTCAATGGGGAACAAAGTAAAAAAACTCTTGGCCAAGCTTATTAAAAGAAGAAAGGACCCATATCAGTGTAATTAGAAATGAAAAAGGCGGGGGGCTGGAGGTTTAGCTCAGAGGCATAAGCGCCTGCTTTGCAAGCAAGCAGTCGTGAGTTTGATCCCGGTACCAATAAAAAGGAAAAAGACAAAAAAAAAAAAAAAAAAAAAAAAAAAAAAAAAAAAAAAAAGAAAGAAAGAAAGAAAGAAATGAAAAAGGCAAAATCAAAACAAGCACCCCTAAAATGTTATGTGTAATTACTTTGTAAATCTGTCTTCCAATAAATTAGAAAATCTGGAAGACACATATTAATTATCAACTGAATCATGAAAATATAAAAGCTCTGAAGTGTCCAATAGCAGGCAAGGAAACTGAGGCTGTAATAAAACACAAAACACCTATCAAATGAGAAAAGTCTAGGACCTCATGGATTCATTGGAGGATTATACAAAAGCTCCAAGGAAAAGCTCACAGCAGCACTGCTCTAAGCCTTCTTGAAATTTCATGGGAAGGAACGCTGCCAAGCACATTCCTTAAAGCTAGTATTACACTGAAGGTAAAATCAAATAAAGATATAACAAAAAAAGAAAATTACAGACCAATTTCCTTAATGAATAGAGTTGCAAAAATCCTCAACAAGAGGCATGCAAACAGGAGACAATAAACATGAACAAGATCAAACCTCATGACCAGATTGATTTTATGCCAGGGATACAAGAATGGTTCAGCATACATAAATAAATGTAATAAGCCTCATAAACAGAAGTGAGAATTAGATGCAAAAGAAGCCTGTGAAGAAATCCAGCTTGCATTCATGATAAAAACCTTGAAAAATAGAAGAACCTACTTAAAATGATAAAAGCCACTTTTAACAGACACAGTGTGCTAAGTAGGGCAAAAGTTGAAAGCATTCAGAAACAAAACAAAGCAATCTGATTTCACCACTCCTGTTGAATATAGCACTCAAATCTTTAGCCAGAGCAATTATGCAAGACAAGAAAATAGAAGAAATACTAATAGATAAAGAAAGAGTTAAAATAACCTTATTTGCAGATGACAGGAAGCTCCATAAAACTCCACTAGAAGAATGTTAGAACGAATAAGTAAATTCAGCCAAATGGCAAGATACAAAATAAACACAAAAATCAATAGCATTCCTATACATCAACAAAGATCCACCAAGAATGAAATAAGAAAAACAACCCATTCACAGTAAAGTGAAAAATTAAACATTTCAGAATTAACCTAACCAAACAATGGAATGACATGTAAAAATAAAGTTATGTTGCTCAGAGAAGAGAGATTGAACAGGTATTACAAACTGGAAAAATGTTTCCTGATCTTGGGTAGGCAGAAATAGCATCATCCCAATGGTCATATTATAATAAATGTTATGTAGATTTAATGATAAGTAGATTTATTTCTGATCTTCATCAGAAATATCAGCATATTTTTCACAGAACTATAAAAATTATTTTAAAATTTACTTGGAATGAGAAATATTCAGGATAGCCAAAGCAATTGTATTACTCAGGTTTTTACTAGTGAGAACAGATACAACATGAGATATACAGATGTAAAAGAAACAAGATTGGCTTACGATGGTCAGCCACAGAGTTGGATGAGGAAGCATGCAGAGGGTGTCTACACAGTGGAGATGAAGGATTCAAACCAAGGTCTGGAGTTCACCCTAATGTCTTGTGCAAGTCCACACCAGCAGGCTGATGGGTTTGCAATAGAAGGCCAAAAAGGCTCTGTGATGAAAGGCTGAAGAGTCTATGCCGGTAAGCTGGAGTCTACACTGGAAGGCAGGAGACAGGTCCAAACCAAAGTCAAAGACTGGAGCTTCTTCAAAGAATGGAGTGCATTCTTCCTTCCTCCTTTCCTTTTATATTGTCCAGGTGATGAGGATGGGTTTTCTTCTACAATCTTGGGTGCAGAGCTGCTAAATCCATTTATTTGGGCTTCTAAATATCTCACATTGATACAATCAATCAACCACCACAGCAATCTTGGGCAACACAATCAAGGCAGGAGGCATTGCTATCTCAAAATTTACGTTATACTGCTAAATCACAGAAGTAAAAACAGAAAAAACCAGACACTTTGACCAATGAAATAGAATGAAAGATGCGGGGATAAGCCTGAAGAGTTTCAGTCAGCCACTGGTTCATGGGAGGTAGACACTGAAGATTGAAAGGGAATATGGGAAATTTGGGAGAAGGTAGGAGGGGACAGAAGAGTGCAAATGATCAGGATGCTTCCACAAAGGGGTGAGGGGTTATAAAATATGCTGGAGAAATGACAGCCAAAAATGTCCCAAATGATGCTATAAAAACCGATTATTTACATGCAGAAAAATGAATCATGATCTGCATCTCTCACGCTGTACTAAGATCAAATAAAAACGGATTGCAGACTGGTATTACAACTAAGACACTGAATCTACTGAAAGAAAAATTAGTAAAATTCATGAAGACATAGCATAGCCAAAGACATTCTGAAAATATCTCAACTACACAAAATATAATAATAAAAATCAACGCATGGGATTATATTTAAAAACATCTGCATGCCAAAGGAAACCACCGACACAGTGAATAGGCAGCCTACATACTGGAAAAAATAAAATTCCATCTACTGCTCAGCCAGAAGACTAGTATCTGAAGTATATAAAGAACTTGAAAAAATAAACCACCTAAAGTAAATGACTCATTCAAAACAATTAGCAACTGAAATAAGCATTTTACAAAAGAAATATAGGTCAACAATGCATATATGAGAAAAATGTTCATTACCAGGATATGATATATATATGTATCAAAACTCCAAGCTGAATGACATCACTACATTTGGCGTACATGAACTAATAGAAATATCAGTTCCCATATTCTAATATGTTTTCAGATGTTTCATGCTATAGCATAGAATCTTCTACCTAAAATTTTTTAAAATTAGAATAGTCATCCTTGTTATAGATGTTGAGATATGAGAATGTTGACCTCAACTGGACAACAAAAGAATCCACCTAGGAAATATCATTCTTCTCATCAGGTCAGATATACCTTTTCTCTCAAAGGAGCCCTGCTATGATAAAGAAAGTAGGACATGGTAGGGAACATCATTAGAGACTACACTAAAATGAGATCTACTGGGATAATTAAGAAGCTCAAGCCAGTGGAGGAATTGTATTAGTTCACTCATCAAACCTTTAGGACAAAATCCTTCCAATAGCGTATAAGAAAAAAATAAAAAGAATTGATGATGATTTTCCCCTATTGTAATTGGTCTGGTTAACTGTTACATATATTTACAACTTGAAACTACAAATACACATTTTTCATTCTTGCTGGAAACAGATGAAATTGTCAGAACTCAAAGTATGCCTTTCTTTTCTGGGGTCTGTGGTACTACTGGAGATGCAGGTTCAAGTATTAAAAAAAAAAAAAAAGTAACTTACAAGAAAAGGCAAATAGCACATATAACTGATGTGAGGGTTTCTGGGTTCTCATTTTAGTCTTCTTGCCTAGCAAGCCTGTCCTTGGATTTTACATATGCCCTCCCAGCCTAGATCTCAGAGTCATTTATTTTGTCTTTATCCTTTCTGGAAAATCAATCTCTTTGCATTTTCTTCTGCCAGTTTACCAGTGTTTTTCATTTCTCCATCTGGGACTGCTGTAGACTGCTGGAACAGTAAGATGAAACAAAAATCCAGTGACCATAGGAGATACCGACCAACCACCACAAATTAGCCCAAGGAGCTTCAGTCAATCCATCTTTGCAGTCTCCTCATTTCTTCCCTCAACTTTGCCTTTTAACGTTGAGCCTGAAGCATTATTATTACTCAGCAATTTATTAAATTCAATGCCCTCTGGAGAAAAGTAGTGAAGAAGCACAGGAAAGAAATCCAACAGGAATGTGTGTTCTCCTGCAGGCCGGCCAGGCTCAGCTTCATCTCAGCAATGTGCTGGGTCATTCACTGCACCCACAGAACTGGCCCCTCTTTAAGTCAAAGAGTGACCGAATCTGATTTTCTCCAGGGTTACGCTGAGGTTATCCATCAGTTTCCAAATTCCCTCCTGTACTGTTTTACCACCATTTACCTCTTTTAGCAACCACTTGTTGGGTAGAATCATAGAGGAAATTGTATACCCTTTCAACTTGCAGAATTATCAGCGAGAAAACAGAATTATTTCTATCTGAATGTAATATTTTGATAAAACACAGTTATCAGCACAAAAGTTTGTTTGTTTGTTTGTTTGTTTTCTAATTTGGGAAATCTGGCTGAATGTAAGCTCATTTGTTGGACTAAAAAACTTATCTTAATGTGACATTCAAATTTGTGTCCCAATGATAATTTTACATAACATAGGAGAGAAAAACTTACCATGTGAACACTGTGTAGAGTAAAAAGAGAAATAATGATTAGCAATCAAGTAAAAACAAAGATAATGTGTAAAATAAAAAATATTCACGTGCAACTGTATTCAGTAAAATATTTTGTGCTATGGAACATAGTTCTGTTAATCTCATTAAGCACCATTCAAGATAAAATTTGTTGGCAAGTAAACATGAAAAACTGTTTAACATTTTTACGCCTTAGGAAAATGCAAATCAAAACTATCTCGCGATTCTATCACAAACCAGTCAAAAGATCTATCAACAAGAATACAAAAAGCAATAAATTCAGGAAAAAAGCAGGTGGGGAGGTGTCAGCTGAGATCTTGCCCTCTGTACTGCTTGCCCAGCTAACCACCCCA